GCCGTGACTTAATGCAAAGAAACATTTCGATAACTGTTTTCTGGGAGCAAAGCCTCAAGTGTCACGGCTGAGAGCAGCCCTGGAAGATGACACTACACAACTGCATCTTGGTTTGATTCAATATGACTCTCAGCCCGACATTAGGTGGCACCACTCTATGCTCTGTAAATCGTTATTTGTCGTCATGTTAGTCATCTGATATGGACATAGCCATTTGGCGCTGGATGACAGCCTTGGCACACATTGTCAGTCATGAAGGTTATACGATCACACTTCACCACACTGGTCAGTGGGTGTTGGCGAAGGGGGGGAAGGCTCCAGGACCTGTTTAGATATCGCTCGCCACTCCTGTTAGCGGGCAAACTTATTCGCCAAAGCCGTCCTGAGCTGCTTGAGATTTTGATCTCCCAATTTGGTTGACGACTTTACGACACGGCCTTTCTTTTCAATTTACCCGCACATGACAGTGTTTCGCCGTCCACTGAGATAAAAGCCACCGAAATAGAATTGTTGGGGAAAAAAATGACCCCCACATCCTGTGGTGGTGTGCCGCCTGCACCCCGTGGTTGAGGCGCCGGCGGCTGGCAGCCAGAGGCCAGCTGGAGACGAGCGATTACGGTCCCCCGCGTCGTCGGGCCCCGGCGTGCGGATTTGCTCGCAACGTGCACATGTGGGGGCATGGGGAAATCACCAGATATTCGCAGGCCACGCTGCGCGCGTGTGCATGTCGCGATGAAACGTGACGGTTTTTTTTGTGGTATATATTTTTTTCTTCCCAATTGTTTGGTGTAGGCACCAAGACGGTTGTATTAGTATTTGCTGTTCAAGGCAAAGTCAAAGTTTCGCTCTATGCAAATCAGTGTGGGTGCCGTGGTGGTGAGATGTTAACTCCCTCGCCTGGTATGCAGGAGGCCGTGGGTTCGATCCCAACCCTGACATCTGTATATTTGGAGTTTGCATGTCTCTCTCCATGGTCGCATAGATTTTTCTCCGGGTCCTCCGGTTTTTCCCTCCACATTTAGAAACATGCTTTTACAGTATTTGGCTGATATTCTTAGCTCTTTCGGTTAAGTCACGTTGAAGGGAAACAATAAAATATATTGTTTCCCTTCAACGTGACTTTACCGAAAGAGCTAAGAATATGAATTACTGCAGTCACGAAAGCTTTAAATCAAAAGTATTTGGCTGCTTTAAATTCCCATAAAAGCCACTTTGTTGAGCTATCATTTGTGCTAGGTCGCTTCTGAAAAGGATCTATTCAGCTCAGTGGGCCTTACCTGGTAAAACAAAAAGTGTGGGTTGGCACTCAACCCTACCTGTGACCCTAAGCTCTTATTACTGTTCCTAAGATGTTACCTACACATGTGGGGTCTGCCTCCCTGCTCCTCGTCCATCATTCGCTCCTGCATTTATTGTCATTTAACTAGGTGACAGCGTATACTCTTCATCCTATCTGCCACAAAAATATAGCTACTTAAGGACATACATTTCTTGTTAAAAAATAATGTCCTGATAAGTACGTTAAATATATATATGGAATTGCACACAATGGCCTTCTCTTTCAAATAATGTCACAGAGTCTTTAATGTTCACTTCAAAGGAGTTGGCACACTTTGGTGCTTCCCAGCTGGGATCGTCTATCACTTCATCTCTCCGTGATAATGTCTGACGTTTTGCTCCACATGCTTCTTCAGTGCCTAAAGAGAGAGCTATGAAGCACAACCACGTGAACGTACGCAGTAATATCCCTTCTGCCTTGTCATCTGCACGTTGAAGTGGTTCTTTGATTTTTTTTTTCTGATGGGCAAATCGGCCTCCTGTCTGAAAAATCTCTCCCGCAGCGCGGTGCGTTCCCACGCGCGCACAAATTCAGTCTCATTTCAGCTTCTGCACATCAACGGCGGAACAACGCAATCACCTCACACATGGCTAATCCAGCCGGTCATTGCCCAGCGAGCGGCGGATGGGGATGGAAACAGTCCTCGCCATCTGGCGCGTTGTTAATTCTCCGTCCAAGTTGGCGGGGGCTGTTATGTAAAAAAAGGATTCTCCGCCCTCTGTGTTTTTTTTTCTTTCCCAATCGAAGCATTTACTCTCGGTGATTCAGCGGTGACTTCATTAAGCCCTGTCCCGGCAGACAAAGAAATTCCCATGTTTAGCTTTTGACAGGATGTAGGGACGCCGTCACAGCAGACCAGTGCCGATTGAGGCTGGCACGAAGTGAGGATACGGTGGGGCCAGCACCACGCACGTCCATCGGCCTTTTATGTCTTGGCAGCGCCGGTGGTCACACGAGCTTTGCCAATATCTCGCTGAACTGACATTGGGAAGGCCCAAAACGGTTTCAGATGCCTGTTTGCCCACTGCAGTTGTGCATTGTGGCCAGTATCTGAACCTGTGTTGCTGGGGAGTCACGTAGCGCATTGTGCTCTTGCGACGCTGCTCCTCCAACTCGTTCAATGCACACACGGACGCAGCGATGGATGGCCGTTGCTTTAAAAAAATTTAAACAAACATAATAGTTTTTTGTGACTCTCGCAAGACCTACTAATGTGGAAACGCACCCGGACGTGTCCATTCTGGTGACCGCTTGCCATGGGTTGATTGTGTTTGTACTCTGTCACGAGAGGGACGGATAGTCTGTTATGAATCCGATTGATTTCCGGATAAAACACTGAGGGTATTCTGTGTTTGCGCAATGGTCGAAAACCATTTATCCTGAAGTGGTTGTTGCCCTAACCATTCTACCGTATATTTGGGGGTTGTACACACATATAACAAATAATTTATACAAAAATACTTTACAATGTTGGCTTAACATTGGATTAACCAGTCATTTACATTCTCTCTGGAAATTATCAGGACCTGAAATGTTCCTCTGAGAGAGTATTTACAAATGAATGATGAGCGTGTCTCATTCCACTGTCGAATGCATTAGCGAGGTGAAAGCACATTGTCTCACCGTTAAGAAGCAACGTGCTCGACTGTGCCAAGAGAAACGGTCCCAGGCTGGCTGGCGAGGCTGCCGTGCCACACTATGCACACATGAGGTCAGCTGTAGGACGTTGGAAGAGGCTCTTGGAAAATCCTAGTCTGCGATTCTTTTTGCTCCTCTTTGTGGAGTTGAAATGCAACAATTTTTTTTATTATCATACTTGTTTTACAGGATAATAATGACATTCATTTATCTCTCTATTAAATATGTTTACCATATACGTACAAGTCATCATTTGTGCATGTTCGTAATTTTGCAAATGAGGCTCTGTCCTGGTCTCTTGAGTTCTCACCATGTTAAACAAAAAAAACCCTTGAAACATTGACGCTTTTCTATCCTGTGAAAATGAACTGCTCATTAGGGACACTTTTATGTAAAGTCTGTTCTGCATTCTAGGGAGGGGGTTGTCCCTACAATGTCAGATGCTGTACAGAAACAGGAAGATCTTGAGCCTGGACTTAAATGAGGACAAGGAGTCGACAGCACGAATGGCTGAGGAAAGAGATTCCTACACTCGGGGCAGCAAAGGAGAATGAGCGACCTCCCACCGAGCGGATGATGACTGTGGACTTTGTTTAAAAGTCTGCCCATACTGGACATCTGTGAAAAAGAGCTTCAAAGCTCATCGGATTCCTCCAGACTTAAATAAAGATTCTGATTCTTGAGAGAGGAGAGGTCGGAGAGTGCGCGGAGGGGAGTTGAGTAAGATGAGAGCAGAGTAGCAGATGATGTCATGTTTTGACATGCACTTCCAGGAAAGCATCGTGCTGTCTCACCATTTCTGATCACTCATTAATTTAGTCATGTACTCGGTATACCACGTCTTTCGTCATCATCATGGTCATCATCATGGTCATCATCATGGTCATCATCATGGTCATCATCATGGTCATCATCATGGTCATCATCATGGTCATCATCATGGTCATCATCATGGTCATCACCCTCATGCTATTTTGCAATGCACCCTGCACTCAATGCAAGAAGCTCCAAGCATAACCCTTAAGACAAGCCATATTAGCATCTTGTGATTGAAAAGCCAAGTTAACAGGATGTGGTTTAAGTAATTGTCACCAGTGTGTTTATGAATATTTGTCGAGTTGATTGAGAAGCTGATACAGCCAATGATGACAATTTTCATTCTCAACATAACATATTGATGGCGAGATGTTAACTCCCTCGCCTGGTATGGAAGAGGTTGTGGGTTCGATCCCAAACCTGACGCCTGCTGTATATTTGGAGCTTGCGTGTCTCTCCCCGTGGTCGCTTGGAATTTTCTTTGGAGCCTCTGGTTTTTCCCTCCACATTTAGAAACATGCGTTCAGAATATAAACCACTTCGTTAAGCTATCATTTGTGTCTAGGTCACTTCTTAAAAAGAGCTATTTAACTCAGTGGGCCTTACCTGGTAAAATACATTTTTTTTGTTTCGTTTTTAGTTTTATATTACAAATCAAAAGGTGTGCTTCCCAGCAAAAGATTCAAATGTATTTTTTAAATAAATAATTACATGCAACATCTTCACAGTGTTGCAGTATTACTGAATCTGTAATATTAATGTTATTTCAAACTAAAGCATATTGTTAACTTTTCAAAATATGTGTCTTCATAAATTACCTCTTTCTGGTGGCAGGGTTCTGACACGTTCTCTCTTTTTCACTCCAATACCAATCCTGTTCCTTCGACCCTGGCACCTGCAATTTCTCAACGTCTATCTCGCAAAACAGACGTGTTGTCTCAATGGGTTCTCAATTGCTTTGCATAAAGGATGCCCACACACCTACTTGCTTACCTTACCTCCCTTATCCACAACCCACCTATCCACAACCCACCCACAAATAATTTCACAGTTTCATACCTTCCTGCAGATCATCCCGGTACACACAATTCCTTTGCTTACATCAAAACATATCCGCAAGAATATGTTCCGTGGTCGTGGTGCGTTTCGGTCATACGAACCGGTGACTCAAAACCCATGTGCGTGTTTCTCTGCTCTGTGTTTTCAGTTGCCGCACGAGCAACAGGAAGAGCCTGATTGTGACCAACACGTCACCCACCCTTCCGAGGCCTCACTCCCCACTGCCTGGTGGACACACTGGTAAGAGCGGCAAATGCACGCGTGTTGGCATGCGCGGATCGCTGTCTGGGTCAAGGCGCCAAAGAGTCTGTGATTAACGTGGGAGGAGGCACAGCGGGTTTGTTATTCATTATCAGCTGAAGTCTGCCCGCAAGAACTGGCAGTAGATTTCTGCAAATGAATTACCGTTGCAGTTGCTTTTCTAAATATACCAGTGGCTTCAACAAACCAACAACACAGAGCTCTCATCTCATGAATGTGTCTTATAATTTACAATAATTTACAGCTATTTGTCCGTCTACTGCTGGATGAATGCCTCCCTATGCATTTCGGTCTTGGGGGTTGTTTGACCATGCATCGCCACACTGGTCAGTGCTCGGGTGTCCAGGAGCGGTTCAGATATTACTCAACCACTTGTAATAGCCATTGCCGGAAGTCAAACTCCACTGCACCCCAAGTTTAAAGAACCACCAAACCAATTCCACTGAATCATAACCAAACTATGATGGTGATGCACACATTCTATTCGAGTCACTTGGAAAGCATGGTTGATGAATCACCTACCATCTCGGCAATAAGATTCTAACCGTAGGGGAAGGTGTAGCGAGTAGGTCTGTGGTAATATATTTGTGTGGAGCTTGACAGTTGTGTTTTTCTAAAAAAACTGCTTTTTCCATTGTCCTTTTTTTTCTAAACATTAAACAGAGAAAAATGCCCTGACGTTCAAAATTAGGACCATCGAATACTCTGGCTGACTTAGCCTCAGCCGACAACACGCTTCGTATTACACGCAGGTGAAGTCCATCCCATGGCCAGTCATGGCATGGAGTTCACATGCAAGGAACGTGTCAACGGCCGCCTAAGGAAGCCAGGCATTACACGAGTACTCGACCTCGTGCCTTTAACACTATTTGATTTTCACACAGTTTCACCGTTCACTGTATATTTATCTGCAGAAAGTCAAACGAAGCCACGTTTTGAAGAGGAACAATATGCGTAGTCCTGACAAGATCTGATCATTGCTTCATTTGTTTTTTACTTCCTCTAATGTTATCATATAGGTCACTTGTTTTCTTTACCCAACTGCCATTTTGGCTGAGCTGCTGACTAAACGAGACCCCACCAGCAACAAAAACAATTTCCCACAAATTGCAAACATTTCTGGTGCGATAAAATCGCTGCAGCTTTATCGTAACGCCAAGTGAGCCCACAAACTTGTTTAGTTAGCACAGCCATTGATGGAACAAAACAAGGATGGAAAATCATGTCTATGCATGGCTTCTGTAGCACTTTTCAATTGGCATTTGTCTTCAGAATTATATTTTTAGAGAGCATTCGGATTTTAATGACGTTAGTTGACCTATTATTGTTCATGAAAGAATGAAAAAAAAAATCACATTTTTAGGCTCACATGGAGCACCCAGAGAAAACCACGCCTGCGAGGAGGCAAAACCTATCTCCCCGTACAGTTGGAAACAAATGGCGATTAGTCCACTTGCTGTACTGCTTTCTCCTGGTGAGCCAGCGGTATGGCACCTGCTCGACGCTCACTTGTAGAAAGGAATCTCAACAACATTTGTACGGTGATCCACCAACCCTCGCTGCTGCTGCTGCCGCCTCCACAGTGCTGGATTACAGGCAGCCACGTGCAGGAGCGTAGCCACCACCACCACCACCAATAACGTGCATGATGGCTGCCAAGCCGTCCCGGCCACCTTTGCCAAAGTGCTCAGGAAGATGTGGGGTTAGAGAGTGCTTTAGTCCTTCAGCTGCACATTTCAAAATCGGAATCTTTATTGACACGGTCGTCATCAGGTGTGTTGGTTTTCACAGATGTCCAGTAGTATAGGAAAAATCTTAACTTAAAGCTTTCGTGACTGCATGAATTCATACTCTTTGGGTCTTTCAGTAAAGTCACGTAGATAGAAAAATAACACGAATAAACGACGTTTCGATCGCAACACGCGCAATCGCCCTCGGGTGAAAAAATATAGCGGGAGACCTGCTGAAGCAACAGGGTGTTATATAGGCCTGAGATGGGTGCAGCCCAAGGGTAAGTGGGCGGGGTTAGAGAAGGAAGATCGAGGGCACCCCAAAGCTGTTGGGGCAGGCCCTTGTATTGTGAGAGATTAGCATGTCAATGTAGCCACTGGCTGTGAGGTGAGCGACCTTAAGCCTTCGGTTGTGGTGCAAACGCTGCCCCACAAGCCAGCAGGGGGAGATAGACGTATCTGCAGGAAATTCAACGCTTTTTCACAATGCAAGGGAATTTACACTGAATGTTCTATAAACAAGATTTTTCCCTATATTATGGGATCTTTTTTTGTTGCCAGTATCAAAGTATGCAAAAGGTTTCTATTTGGTGTTTGAACATCTTAACATCTTTTTTTTATTGCCAGAAAGGCTACAACCGAGTCTTATTTTTTTATACTAAGGTTTTTTTTTACTGTCAGTCATTGTTTTTTTTGCCAGCAAAGACCTTTGTTATTGCACAGCTTGGAAATGTTCCATGTGGCGCATGTAGAAGGTGCCGCTGTACATGCTTATTTATTTATTTTATAGTTTTAAGTTCATATTGATGTGTTAGAAAATCCAATGTTAGAAAAAAAAATCTTCCCCTCCCCCCAAAAAAATATGAGCAAAAGCAGACATCATGAAATTGGGTGGATTGATTATCGTGCTTTGTCGTTGCTTTTCTAATAGCTAATCTCACCAACAGCGAGTGCAGACCCTAAGCTGAATCAACGTGCATTACTTTGATAATATCAATTCAATTTGCCGACCCTTATCTGACCAAATGGCAGCCAAATGCGATTCGTTATGTTTTACGTATCTATCCAACAGTATCAATCTCTCAAGCCTGGCTGTAAATTTAACTTTTTAACAGAAAGCAAATCATCAGCCGTTTTAGCATCAGTGATATCAACATAATGTAACAATGCTTTGCTGGCAATTAATAATTATTGTTATGGTTGTCTACCCAGGGAAATACTCAGTCTCAAAACTTTTTTTTTTGGAGGGTCTTGCCAAGTTTTCCCAGTAGGGGCGATGTTGCTGCTGTTGTGTGTAATCCAAATTGAGTAATTCGGAGGTAATTTTTAGCATTGAGATGTTTGGCCAACATCATTTACATTGGGATTTTTTTGTAGCCATGGGAGGAAACAGGAGAACCCTGAGAAAACCCACACCAAACAGGGGGAGAACATATAAATTCCAGACACAAAGGCACCCGAGTAAGAATCGAACCCAGGTCCTTCTCTCTGCGGGGCATGAGTGTTACCACTGCGCCACCACCCTGCCGCCTGGTAGCAATAGACTGATGCGTTCTAACGCTGCACCGCACGTTGTTCAGGATGATGTCCGGCAGTTCGCTACATGCGCTGGGGGGAGCTCCTTCAGGATTCCTGCAGGCACGAAAGCTTCAAATCAAATTTTGATTTAAAGCTTTCGTGACTGCAGTAATTCATATTCTTAGCTCTTTCGGTAAAGTCACGTTGAAGGGAAACAATAAAATAATAAAATATATCTAAAACAGTAAAAATTCTCACGACCAAACCGGTTTGCAAACCGACACACCTGATGACGACCGTTTGTGTTATGGTCGAAACGTCGTGATAATTTTTATTGTTTTATATATTTTTTATTATTTTATTTTTTCCCTTCAACATGACTTTACCGAAAGAGCTAAGAATATAGCTTCAAATCAATATAAGGACTTATTTCAGCAGCCTGTTTCTCTCTCCCATCTGAAGACGATTGCTTGTGTGGCGATCGAAACGTCGTGATTTATTTTATTTTATACCTACGTGACTTTACTGAAAGAACCAAAGAGTAAGGAACTAAATAATTCCTGAACTGAAGATGGAACTTTACAGCACAGTTGCAAAAACTCAGACTGTAGCATTATTTTTTTTTTATAATACAATTTAGGATGACTTCCAGTAAGTAATGATAGTTGAAATGGTGTTTGAAGTTAGTTAAAGATTGTCGCTTTATACAATTCTTAATTTCACATTATAGCTGGAACTGTAATGCGTTATACTATTGCGTGGTTATTTTTCATACTGTTGTCAGTGTTCTTTAATCCATTGCACCAGCTTTGTTCGTTACGATTCCTTCAGTATTTTCTTTCAAAGCACATCGTGGTCTCAATGCAGAGCTCTTTATTTTAATGAATGTCTAGCCACCTACCAACACCGGCCGGTTGTCTCGCCGTAATTGTGCCACGTCAATTTCTGACCGAATATTCTAAACGTTTCGGATCGAGGAGATGGAACGTGATCTTGCATATGACCTCAGTAGAGTGCGTAAACGCCATAGTAGAGTAAATCCCCCCTACATCCGTGCAATGAAAATAAAATTATACAGCTCAGAACGAGTTACATAATGAGATGCCCAAAGTGGGTGGCAATTTCTTGCCCCCGGTGCCAGCGAGCTGGCACTTTTCATAGAAGAATATTGATCGCTGTAAAAATAACAAGAATGAGGTCATTTAGGCAGAATTCCATTTGGGCTGCCACTTTAGTGGAATACTATTTATCAGTAGAAGGTGATTGCCAAGGCCAGAGAACCATTGTTAGTTTACCGAGCACAGCTTGCAGAGTTATCAGGTTAACGCCTCCCCTACTTCTCCAAAATGAATCTCCAAAGGCCCCAGAACACTGAGCAACCACTGCATCTGGTAGAGTATCTGCGGCAGGCACTTGAAAGAAGATGCAACTCAGAACACCCATATCCCTAAAGCTACACATTAGGTTTTTGCGGCCGTGCTCTACAGCTCTCCGGTGTGTTATCGGGTTGTGCCATGCGTTGCGCATTGTGATGTCCGATGTTTCGCTCCACGTCCTGGAAGCTTCTTCAGTTCAGTTCCCAAAGAAGCTCCCAGTACATGGAGCAAAACTTTGGACTTTCTTGGTGAACAGCACGCAGCACAATCTGAAAACACATCGGAGCGCTAAATAGCCCATGTCTTAAAATATTTATCTTGCATTTCATTCGTGACTGTTTGTGTATTTCCAACTTCTGAGTCACTTCACTTGCCTCTTATCCAAACTAGGGCTACTAAACCTTCTCACGTGCCCTGCTATAGAGAAGTTAATTGCGTAGCAGACAAACCAATATCTTTGTAGTTGTCAGAGCCTGTAAATATAGTGACATAAGTTAAAACCAACTTGAATATGATGGGTGTTTTTGTGCATCAACTTGTGACACTTAAGAACTTGGTTTAGTCACAGGTGGTTTGCTCAGCTTCAGATCCCTGATAGAGGCTCAGTGCTGTGGCACGGTGTTAGCCCTCTGAGCCTCCCAGCCACCCTCAAGAGTTGATCTTCTGAACGTATTTGCCAAAGCAAGTGGAACCGCAACATAATTTTAGTCGTTTGCTTGCCGACGAAGCATTTGCCTTGCTAATTTACAACGTAGGCTCTCTCGAACGTGTGCCACGTTGTTTCTACTTCGCACCCAAGTGTGCGCACACCAGTGTGCTGAAGTAGTCACTGAGTGGCATGTTCTGTTCACGTGACAAACCCTGCTCATTGGCTGGTGTCGGGTGGAGGTGGGTTTACGACACATTTACACAAACCCACACAACTTTATCATGAAATGGCTAAAAAACTATGGCACATTGCCCCTGCCCCCCCCCCCCCCCCCCCCCCCCCATAATTTATCTTCCAACTTAAAGTAATTTAATATTTTAGAGGATTGATTTGGTCGTGTAAACAGTAAGCCCGGGGTGATAAAATAACACATGAAATGTAGACAAGGAGAAGGTTGGGTTAATCTTTTACCGATGCGTATCTGTCTGCCTGCCACGACGGCAGCTGCGGGCACATCGCGAGGGAAGTTTAGGAGTGTGAGTGAGCGGCACGGAGGGGGGGGGTCGTGGCTCTTGACGCCCTGCGTGCACAGATGGTGTCTCTGTGAAAATGTGATAGCGCCCTCTGTCCAAAGGCCTGTGATGGAAAGCCTCTGAAGGGGCTTAGTTGAGGTACTCGTGGTTATTGAAGTTATTGGCTCTGAAATGATATAGGTTTGATGGCTGGGTACAGCTGTTGGTGACTATGCTTGGGGCAGAGGGGGGGGTGACTGACTGGCCTCATAAATAAATAATTGCTGTGGTGTGGCCTTTGAGTAACTTCACCGCCTCTGTCTGAGCCAAGCTGTCAATCATAGAGTACATTGAGTGTTAGTGACTGTGACGTACTATAAGCACAGAATGTTTATTCATATATTGTTTTGTACATAACCCGTCGGCCTCACGGCCTTTTGGAAGCACATCATTTCAGCAGCATTGATTCAATACACGCAAAACTGGACTGGTTTCAACGTGTACAGTGTTGCATCAGCAGAGTCAGGCTCGCTTGATTCAATGCTGGTGAACTGCCAAATGTTATCACAAGGATCCTCTCCCTTTAACAAAATAATTATTCATGTCATTGTGGGGAATTTAAGAAACAAACGAGATAAGCAGCCTATGTGCAACATTTCTCCACAACGGCACGGATCATTAGGTTGTTCTATGTGTACTGTACTGAAGTAGATGGCGGACGTCAAACTGGCAGGCTTTTTCATGCCCACCAGCTTCAAAATCACCCCGCGCCGGTACACCGAGACTCAACAGATTTCTTTTCAACTTAAATGTAGTTAGCTCAAAATGTTAACAATGTGAAACTAATCTCACATTGGCTTTTGCGCACAAATAGTTATCTTACGCATGGCCTACTTTTCCACACTTTGTAATAAAAATTAATTTGTACCAGGGCATCGGTACATAATGTTTCCGCCCCCCCCCCTCCCCCCAGGATGTAATGAAATAAAAAGAGTCCGCCCTTTGTCAAAATTCCAGAACCTAATCGCGTTCTTCACGTTTACCCGTCGCCGACATCAATTAGTTCTAGGGCGCTCGGTTTAATGCCGAGCGGCGGCCGTTTGTCTTCAGAGGCGTTGGGTTCGCAGCTCCATGACGCGGCTCCGCTGCTTGACTGGTGACCTCGTGCGGCTCCGTTTTTACAAGCAGGGGGTGGGCGAACCTTTTCCTCGCTCAGGGCTGAAGGGGAATTAAAAACAAATCTGTGGTTTAGCCAACGCATGAACAGACGCCTTGGCGTTATCCAATTAAGGAGGCCCCTTGGAGTGACAGAATGACTGAGTATTGCTGAGATTAAAAACGCGGCGTTGCCATGTCCAAACTTTACCCCTCTGTTATCTGTTTAGTGCAGCTAATGTGCGTCCAGTGACGGATGATTATCGTTTGCGGGCTGTTTTCGGGATGGCAGGCCTCGTGCGGCCATGTGGCCTAATGAAATGAACGAGTGGGCCGTGTGTGACTCGAAGGCCCTCGGTTCCCCACCCCCTTGTTTTATGGATAACAGTGGTTTGTGACATCTGTGTGTCCCGTGGTGTCCGATATGAATTTGAAAGAACATGGAATCGACGTCAGGCACTCCATTGTATTGGCATTTTGGTTACCTGCCGTCTCGATGTTCTGTTGAACATAAGCGAATGACGTCACAGTGACATCACTAGAGGACCATAATTACGCACTTGACCATAACGTCAATGTCCTTTCCATCTTCTTCTTCTCGTTAAGGAAACTCGTGTTGGACAGCCTGTGAGACAAGGCCTCTATCTGCTGTACCTAACTCTAATCGTTGCTTGGGTTGTATCTTATTCTAACATCTGGAATTGAGCACAAAATCAATTGGCCATTTTCTGGCTGTGGATAATCAGTGAGGCAAAATGGCATTACCGTTTCTGTCCTATTAGCTGCAGGTTGATTTATACCATAGCGTGCCATGTTCAGTCTTCTACTACAGTTTATCATCATCACTGTCCTTCCCCCGGACTTTCGATTTTGTACTTCCCCCGCACCCCTGATTTTTGTCCTACCCTCGCACCTCTGATTAGCACGGTTGGCTACGTACGGTGCGACAGACGTTCACGATACATTTACTGGTGCGGTGTGTCCTGTAATATTTAGACAAATTCGTCAAAAACACTGCCATAACACGTAACAAAATATATGTAATAGGTGACGATTTGGGCAATTGCCGTTCTTCAAAGCACATTGAAGGACCATTGCCTGAAACGTCTCCTATTATACATTTGTATCCTTTCATGTGAGTTTGTCATTGTTTGTGTTTATGCACCACTGCCAATGCAGTATCCAAACAATGGTGATCAGAGCCACCCTAGGATGGCAGCTGCCAACAGTTATTTTGGTGGGAGCATTTTATCTCTAGATCTCTCGACCACAAATATGTATGATAGCAAGTTCACAAAGGTTGCTTTTTTATGAGAAAAGATCGTGAAAACGATACCATAGTAATACGTTTGATAATCGAATAATGTTGTGGGAAAAGAAAAACGTACGCCGTGCAATACACCCACTAAACGTGGGAACGTTGGCCTAGCGGTTCCAACCGCATTCCAACGTTGGCCCAACGTCGCATCTTTACTCGGCATGTACGGAATACAAAAATAAAGTGTCTCTATAAAACGGATGTCATTTACCTTAATGATTCTGCCCATGTGGATACTGCCCATGGTGTACACTGGTACTATCTGCCACCCCAAATGGTACCGACGGACCGCCTTAGCTCAGCGGATAACTGACACGCAATAATGCATGTATGCTTACATGCGTGTGTTTTAACCTGTGTGTGTGTGTGCGGGGAGCGGGAGTGAAACAAGTTCACGTGTTGTACTACGAACCCAGCGACCCGAGTTTGATTTCCGCTCACAGCTAACGCCAGTGACGATTGTCTTTAAAGGTCCTAGACCTCCCCTAGGTCGAATTAGCCTCAAATGAGTACCTGGTGCGGTGTGTAAACATCGCCACTGGGGTAGAAAAAGGCGGCCAGGCGTGGTGCTGACCTCCCCCCCCTCGCGTGCCGTGCGGGCCTTTCTAGGACCTCGCTAACAGCACTTGCCCCAAACGTCTGTTAAGGCTATACGGGGTATCTTTGTCTTTGTGTCTGTGTGTGTGCAGGAGGGAGTCCTCTGGACAGCCCACGCAGCTTCTCACCAAGTGCTCCCGCTCACTTCTCCTTTGCCACAGCTCGCAGGTGAGTTGCTCCACGTGGTGGTTGTCTTTAAAATATATATCCTTCTCTGTAACAGAAAAGCAGAGCATGGATCATATATATAAGCGGGAGTCCCAAACTAAATGAATGACTATCAGATGCCCTGTAGAAACGAAAAATGTATCATCATAACCAATTGCCACGTTGAAGACATTTCCATTCACATCTCTCACAAACCAGGCCCTGCAATATGACATTACAGAACTATTTCCCAAGTCAATTCAATTGGCTTATTTCTCCACACAAACGGCGGAGATATATTTTACAATCCCTACAAGCACTGTTCACTCATGTGAGTGGAAATTGAAATTTACAATATTTTTATAGCTGGAATATGCCAAATAAAATGATGCACTTTAATATGTTTTTTGCCATCGTTGGTTGGGACTACCAGCTGGATATTAACAATGTGTAAATTCTGCACAGATAATCTAAACACCAAATATTTTCGTGTCTGTGAGTATGGCCTCCCCTGGGGTGGCTGTGTAACTTACTAGACAATGCATTCACTCTGTTAAACAATTTGTCAGTCAGTAGGTTTGATCCTGCTGTGTTCACCTGCTCATTTCTAGGTAGTGTTAATATTGACCATTAACCAAAACACAGTGACTATTTATATAACCACGTGGTAGAAACACACTGATGTGATTCATCATGGTCAGTACTGGTGTCATATCCGAAATGACAAATTAAAAACATGGGTTTCCATATAACTTTTTCTGGCTCTAATTAAAATGTGTCTTCAACATCAATATAACTTGCTAGGTTTGTCGTAAAAATATAACTAAATAGGCTCTCTCCTGGTTCGTTGAGGAACAGTGATAGTCTGTCAGTTCTATGAATGAAAAACACAAACATGCAAGGAACACGGACATATGAAGATACAGGCGGGTGTACTGTATAAAATTGTCGGAATCAAAAGCGTAAATTGAGATGGGTAATGCGAGTAAATGCACCACTCACCATTGCTGCGGCCACACTTGAATCTACGTACGGGTCGCTGTTGGGGTGCACGAATGTGGCTTTTGAGCTTGGTGTGGACAAGTTCACCATAGGGGTTAACGAGGACCTAACTCTATGGAGCAAGGACGTTTTTGTGGTGTCCACTTTTTTCCCTTTCTGCCTCGCTGTCCAGCGCTACACATAATAAATCAGATCAGAAGGGGAAAAAAAAACCACGATATAGGGGTTTTCTTTTTTGACTCCTGCAATAAAACTTAATTGCGCTGGTAAATGTAATTTTAATTTATGCTAGAGTGTATGATAAGCATCGTGCAGTGCAGCTCTATAAACACCGCTCTCAAAGGCAAATGTGGCCATTGCTTTTTTTACTTTGCACATCAACTGACAGAGTTATCTGAATGCATTTTTCTCCTCCGTAGCAGTTAATGCCATTTTCTTGGTTTATGTAATAAAACGAGCTTGTTACGTTGCACGAGGCTATTAGTGTAAATTTGATGTAGCACGCACACACTTCACCTTGTTTAGCGAATCATTGCATTTCACCGCATTTGGCGAATCACGGCATGCGCAGCAGCAGCTGCTTGAGTTTCTTGCCGCATGTTGGCAAACGCAGTCGCCGCAGCATTGGAACCCATTCGGTGAGATGACTCAAATCTGAAATGCCTCTCTCTGCGTGTCCCCCCCCCATTTTTATTTTTTTATTATCCTTGCTCTTTTTCCTTTCTCTACCCACCGCTTCTCGCGCTTGCAAATCAACCCATGGTCAACCTCGGCACAGCCATGTGCACAGGACAGACAGGTAAACCGGCCGAAAGTGTCTAATTCCGCTTCCTGCCATCCGCATGCCCACCCGTCGCACCCCCCTGCGCGCACTTTGTTGCATTGCCCACCTTTCAAGCGACCGCCACGTGTGGCTAAACAACAGCCGTTGCTTTCCCAGCGTGTTTGCACAATTCTTCTCTCGAGACAGACAAGATGCGGTGATTTAGTTTCTGGATTGTTGAGAAACTTCAAGTTAACGATATTATGTAAGCATAATCCTGTTCTATTTCTCCATACGCTTAAACAAATTGTTTCAGTCCATCGCCCGATTGGCTTTCCATACCAGTATCATCCAGCAGTGTGTGTATAAGGCTACAAGTTATTGTCGAGTTGAACAGGGCTGCATCATTCAGATGAATCTCTATTCAACACAAAACTTGATAGACCATGTAATTTCAATATACAAAGAGTAACTTAGAGCCCCTTGTCAATCCACTGCCTGGATTGATAGGCCACCTCCACCCCCAATGCTGTGTTGGTCATGGGGGTGCTGCAGTGGCGAAATGTTATCCAAGTCGCCTGGTACGCAGGATGTCATGGGTTCGATCTCATCCTTGACAATGCCTGTATATTTGGAGTTTGCGTGTTCTCTCTCCCCGTCGTCGAGTGGATTTTTCCATCCACATTTACAAACGTGTTCAAATTATTTGACTGCTACTATAAATAACCACATGATATAAGCCACTTTGATGAGCTGTCATGTGCCAAGGTCACATCTTAAAAAAGAGCATACAGCTTAGTGGGCTTTCACTGATAAATAAAATTAAATAATTGATTGACCTTGCATCACCTTGCATCACCTTGCTGGTCAGTGCAGCTTGGTAAAACAGCAGGTGAGGCTCAGGACGGGTTCAGATAGCAGCCGCCACTTGTGCTGACCGTGGCCGGGAATTGAACTCATATTTATTGCATTATGTATGTTGAACTTCTTTTGCACCGCACATAGCCAACCGTGCTAATCATTGTTCCCCATTGTATCTACAATGGCTGTCCTTAAAAGTATTTAATGTTAGTAGCAGAAGTGGAAGACTGCAGAACAATTCCACACGAATGAGCGACAGACTTCTACTGCATGTTTCCGCATTCTGCAAGTGCCTTAAGCGCAGCATTCTACGCCACGCTTGGACACGGATGACCGTGAGTCCTTCATTGCTGTATCACCGGCGTTCATGTTGTGAAAACTGCGGTGCCGTAGTGTTTTGTTAAAATCTTGAAAACATTAAGGATTCACATGGTGCCACATCGGCAGAGTTTGGCAGAAGCGCTGGATTTCTCGTTTATATTTTTGTCGGAAATTCAATGATGTTCCCCATTATGACGAGAAGCTTTTGGCACGGCCCTCGTACTCAGACCACTGCTGTGTGTGTTATTTTACACTGTATGGATGCCAGTGACAACTGTTTGTGCCTGCCAGGTATTGAAAAATCTGTGGTGCTAATAGCTTTTGAATCATATATGTTTAAACGTTCCATATGAAGCAGTTTACAAGACATACTGTGGGCGATAAGAACAATCTTGCGCTGTGAGAGAGGATATGATTACCAATAGAATTGTCAATTAATAAAGATAATGAATACCTTTGTGACCAGTGTGTCAGGAGGTGATGGTGCGTTTGAAGGGGTGTGCTAATCTGCCTTGTGTGTTGTTGAGTACACAAGACAGCTTTAAATCAAAATTTAAATCAAAATTTACACAAGGCAGATTTAATACGTCAATTGGTGATTGCTGCTGCGTTGGCAGCGGTGCACCAAGCAGAGTCCACGCAAAAAAATGAACACACTCGTCAACAACACTGGCTTAAAATAAAAATAGTATTTGTTTTATGTGTAGTCGGCAACTTTTCTGGAAATGGCCTTCGTCATAGCACACAGCTGAGAGCATTGTATATGCAAATTGTGGTGGTCACATGGTATGCATGATGGGATGAATGCCTTCCTGCTATCTGTGAGCACACCCTATTGTGTGTTAGTATTTTTTTTTAGTTGTCCACACTTCATATATATGTAGTGTAATAGCGTTGGCTGGTGGACAGCAGCGGTAGCTGTGGTGGACAGACAATACACACGCCTGTGAGGGTGTGCACGGTGTGTTGGCAGAGGGGAGGAACTAGGGTAAGGGTCATGGAGGACCCCATCTGGAGGCCCCTGGAAGTTTCTCGCGGGTTCAAGAAGGGAGGCGCGGTCCGGGCAGAGCCAGGCCGCGCTGGTAGCATAAACGGAGCGCGAGAGCGGGAGCTCGAGGCTGCTGGTTCTGGGAGTGGACTCGTCTCGTCGCCGTCATCGCTTATCGTCTCCGCTAGATATTGCGCTACGAAGGTTATCTCGGTCAGCGCCGTCAGTGTTAGGCGGCTAGTGTTGTGTACAGGCTAGGCTTAGCTACTGTGGAGAGTGTGCGGATGAGACCGTGAAAGTTGTTAATAAAGGTGCCTCCTAGAAACGCTCTCTGAATCGTGGACACTTCATATAGTAGGAGAGAGGTCGGTGCTTACATTTCCTCGTACATAGAAACACCTTTAAATAACTATCGTATATATTTTTGACAGTGTTTTTTTATTATTAGTAGTATTCCTTATCTTATTGTAATTCTTCTTCGGAAGTATTCTCGTGAGAGATAAAAGCTTCCTTCTGAATCTCTAAGTCAGCACAGTGTTACGGCACAAGTCAGGCACAGCCCCAGAAGGTGACAATGCAGAACTACCACCAAAGTCGCTTGAATAGGCCTCTCTTACCCAGCATGAGATGTCACTTTTGTAGAGCTGCAACTATCCCCTCTTGAAATAACCGATGAATCTGGCTATTATTTATTTGAGTAAACAAACACAATAAATATCTTTTGATTTAAAGCTTTCGCGACTGCAGTAATTCATATTCTTAGCTCTTTCGGTAAAGTCATGTTGAAGGGAAACAATAAAATAATAAAATATATATAAAACAATAAAAATTCTCACGACGTTTCGACCATAACACAAACGGTCGTCATCAGGTGTGTCGGTTTTCATTAATTTATTTATTTTAAAACGGTGTATTTATTTAAAAAAACGTCAGCGTCACACGCAGCGATTTGGCAGTTTATTTAGAAGGACGAGTCCATCTATGTTCTGAAAAAGAGGAGGGGGGAGACAAAAATTAATGTATGCTGTCTGAAAGCCACTGCAAGCGTGAACAATCAATTAAGAGCTGAAATGGTTAATCAAATCTTTCCAATGATTGCTAAGCCAGAATCCATCTTCTCGGTTGAAATTGTCTCTGTGCTTGTATATGTGGATAGCCTCATGAACGAATCTCTCATGGTAGCCAGATGGCTTACAAATAACCTCTGTCTTGGAAAAGTCAATGTCATGTGAGCCTACTGAATTATAACAATGATCTGCCACGGCCGAGGTGTTGGTCCTACCGTGTTTAAGGTCTGCTTTGTGTTCACGAATATCGTACAAATCGCACGTCGTTTGCATAATTAAATCCTATCGCCACAAGAGACTTACAAAAAACTGGATCGGTAATGTCATCGCGTCGCCCAGGGCGCGTGCTCGTCGTTGGAGGCTGGATGTCCCAGTGCAAAAATGAATCGGTTGATGATTTTTTTAAATTAAACTGTATACCTTTATGCTCTGTAAAAAGTAGTTTTCCCCATGTCATTTTGCTAAAATGGTTATCAATATCAGTCCTGACCCGAGATGTGACCGAATTAAGTGAACAGCCCAAGTTTCCGGCAGTGTTTCGTGTAGTTGCTGGTAACACGACTGACATAAATACTATACACTCCAATTCAGCACTGTATATGGTCTTGGATCCCTGCCTGGATTTGAACCAAAGATTGCAGATGTAGGTGGCTGGCTCAGAGTCACGAAGTAGCTGTTGTCTTTTTCCACGATATCACAACCTTCGTTCATCATTAATTCATTTATTGTTTTGCACTGTCCCAGTGTATTTTAGTCGAGTGTCAGTCGATGAACTTTGAATATTATCTGTGAACTTGTGCAGTCATTTGTCAATCCACTGCAGAATGAGGGCCTCCCCACGCCATTCGGGTCGTGATAGTTATTTGACCACACTTCACCAGAATGGTCAGTGAAGTTTGGTGAACGTGCGAGCTTAGAATTGCTATAAATTTTTGCTGCACTCTGCTGCCCACCTGTTATCCATGGTGGTCGCCCATCCAAACACCATCCAGGCTCAACCCTGCTTAGCATCTGATATCTGATGAGGTTGGGCACGTTCTCGGTGACTTGGTCATATTCTCTCCAATGTACTAGCATTCTGTATTTTATTCTATATAAACCTAATTTAAGCTTATCTTGCAACTTTAATGCACTGCATGGTACATTCCACTGATTTTCAAGCGTCACCATTTTTTGCATTCCTGTCAACAATCTTGTTGAGATTTGTTGTTCGCCTCGGATGCTGGATTTGAATTCAGATACGAGGCTGGAAAGTCAGGTTTTATTTACGCAGCGAAGGCTTCTCGTGAGCGTTTGTGAGATCTCATGTTGTAGATGCTGGAAATTAAGCGTTATCCAGTCCCTGTTTTGACACTCAACAAATTACGAGACGTTACCTACCTTGCCTGGTATACAGAAGGTCTTGGGTTCGATCCAGACTGACGCCTGTATATTGTTAGTTTGCATTCTTTCTCCCCGTGGTCGTGTGGATTTTTCTCCGGATCCTGTTTTTTCCTCCACATTTAGAAACATGCATTTAGAGTATTTGCTGATATCAATGTCCACACGATAAGCCATGTTTGAGCTATTATTTGTGGTCAAGTTGCTTCTGAAAAAGAGCTATATAGCTAAGTCGCCCTTACCTGGTAAAATAAAAAATAGTTGAGTTTTTAGGTTTTAATCCTTTGTGCGTCCATGCTTTTCGTTTTGTATGTATGTTGAACTTACTTCACACTGTACGTAGCCAACCGTGCTCATCGAAGGTGCCCATATCGTCTGTGGCTAGATCCCATCCATTGCATTGGTGTCTCTGCGGCATT